TATTGGAGTACTAGTACTAATGCCACCAGCAGCAGTAGTAGTACTGGTAGTGCTGGTAACAGGAATACTGGTACTCCAATAGAATTAAAAAGGTACACTAAAGATCCATTTGATACTTGACAAAATGGTATATTCAGAATCCTCATAAAAAACTGGTGTAGACAGTGTCTTCAAAAATTATTTTATTACTATTTTTGATAAAGTTATGACTACTTAAAAGTTGGATAGTTTTACTAGTATTATGCAGTAAAAATTAGAATTATAAAAATTCCTTGAGCTGATTTTTTAATTTTGGGACCGAGGATGGAATATGATTTTTGATTTTTCKTTGCTGCAAAATCTTAGCGCATGGAAAATCGATGCGCACCCCTCTAAATTTATGACCCCTGCGTACCACTGTGTCCATACAGTAAGGACTACGTACACTCCGTAGGTTCGGATTTCGAATATTTTTTGAGAGCTCGCCATTTTCTGTCTCCCCTAAATTCCGTTCGACAACCTTTCCCTCTCCACACTTGCGGGAAGAAGTAAAGTACTCGTACTAGGTACAAGTACGTACCATACCGTATCGTACCCCTCTTGAGAGTTGGAATGGTGCATCGATTATGATAGGGATGCATTCTCAGTTCATCTGGCTCCATGGGAGTTGACATTTTCTTCGGAAACGGAAGTAGATTTAATTCTCATTCTTTTCTGAGGAAAATATTCTGAAGAAAAAAGCTATGAAACATTCGCCTCGATTGACCGTGCTCGCAATATGCTTGTACGGTACATCCGTACCTTGTCGTATTTTGGGAGTAGATGGATTCAATCTTCCTCGTAAACAATTCAAATTAGCAGCTGAGCTCCCAATTGTCAACAGTGCATTTTTAATCGGACCTGTAAGAACCAACGCTGTGTTCACTTTTGCCGCGATTGATGAATTTTCATCAAGTAAGGATGGGATGAGAAAAAGAAGAAAAATTGGAAAAAAGGGAATTAAGGCAGGCACGCTGAATCTTATTAAGGCAATGGCAGGTACCGGAATGCTGGCACTCCCTATGGGAGTCGCAAAATGGAACGACATCAAATCCGGAATTTTCCCATCGATTCTATTAATGTCGACACTAGGATGTATCTCCGCGTACACATTTGGTTTGTACGGTCGCCTTATTCATGCTTCACAGGCGAAGACATTAGGAGAACTTTGGGAAAAGAAGGTTAATAAAAAAACAGGTACGAATATAATTCAATTTTATTCGAAGAAACTAGTTCAGAAATCACTTACAAGGATTGCTGGTTGCTAGCGTACGAGTACTCTTGCTCTCAAACTATACTTTGTATTTTGCTCCTTCAAAAACTACACTATGTTTTTTCACAACTGTATCGCGGGATCCGTCAATTCAGCATGGTTAGTTTCAGCTGCAAGTCTCATTTTTTGCCTCGGGTGTTGTTTGTCGTACAGTTTATGCTTGGGCGATGTTTCTTCCAGTCTTGCTGAGACCATCGGTTGGAATGGCATTTGGATTTCTAGGCAGTTTTGGATTATAATTATGACGGCAATCATTCTATACCCATTGTGCAATTTGAAATCTTTAGTTTCTTTAGCACCTCTTTCCTTTGCCGGTGTTTCAGCAGTTGTCATCACGACAGTATTCATCGCATGGCGTTGCCCATTGTTCAATAACAGATCCCCTTATTCGATTCTAGGGGATGGGGAACTGTTGAAGACACTTTCACCACACCAACTTCCGAAGTTTGGAAGCACGAACAAAGGTTTTTTTAGTCCTTCTTCACTAGTATTGTTTGGGATGGCTGCATTCTCATATTTGTAAGTGATTCATTTCGTATTGAACCAAGCATTTTTTCTTCGTGCGCTTATGCTTTGTTCTGTGCACATTGATTTTGAATATAGAGGCCATTTTACTGCACCTGATTTATATCATTCTTTTCGCACAGAGAATGAAAATGTCTTGGATGATTGTCACGTTACTACAGCAGATGGTGATGATGCTGATGTCGGAAATGGCTATGTTAATGCGAACAAAAATTGTGCATTGGATTCTTTCTTTAACGTATCTTTTGGTGGCTTTACACTGACTACAATAATTAACTGTTTGGTCATGACTTGCGGATTTCTCACATTCGGTGGAAATTCCATGGGAATCATTTTGAATAATTTGTAAGAGGAAAGAAGGCGTGTCGAATTTGAACAAGGTCGTAGGCTACAGTGATAGTGACGCCCAGTGTTCTCTGACAAGTTTTACGGATCTTTTGATTTTGTATCGACTCATAATTTGTCATTATCCATCTACAATAATAACAGTTCCACATTGGATAGAGGGGCTACCATTTGTCGGTTCTTCACTTTAATATCTGTTCTTGGTGGATATCCATTTTTGATACGCGCTTGCCGCGGTGAGATCTTAGAGCTGTTGAAATTAAAGAAGACGCGGGATCCTAAACCTTCCGATGAAAAATTTGCTACCATTTTCTTGTTAGTAAGTCTAACAGTGGCCTCAATGTTCCTATCGAATGCTGGCTTAATTATCGGGTTGTCGGGCGCTGTGATGGGAAGTGCTTTGGCATACATATTTCCTAGTCTACTTTTCTTGGCATCGACTGGCAATATGAAGAGACCAAAACCAAAACGTATAGTAGTCGAGAGAATATTTTGTCGATTCCTGGTTGTATTTGGCTCATTCGCCGCCTTCGCTAGCATTGTTTCAGTTCTCGGTGGTGCATAACGGTATCAAAACTACAGATCAAATCCATCACAAATCACGATACCAGCCACGAGAGGTTGTAAGAATAACGTAGCTATGTTCAACATCCTTGATTTTACTGTTTCGAAAGTAATTGAGAGTCGGTTCAAGCTAAAGTCTTCTGTGCGTGTTGCATGCTAGCCATTAGAATAGGTACTTCTACTACTAATTGATTTGTACGGTGGTACGTACGAATACATCTGACTACACAATTGTTTGCTCAAAGAACTGCAATGCAATCGATTTCTACCTGGACTCCTTTGGGTAGAGCTGCTGCTTGAACACATGATCGGGATGGTGCCACTGGGCTATTCTTGAAATATTCCTCATACACTTGGTTAACAGCACTCTGTGTATACACAAAACGAACCGACGATGAGTGAAATGTAATCAAAAAGATAAGTTGAGTTTTCATACGTTTGTATGAATCAATATCTATCGCATCGGGTTCGACTTACAAAGTTTTGGAGGTCGTCAAGAAATACCGTGCAACGAACAACATTCGCAGGTCCTGCACCAGCCTCCGAAAGAACTGCGTCCATGTTTTTGAGGACCTGTTGAGTTTCTTTTTGCACATCTCCATCTCCAACTATATCCCCTGTCTTGGGATCAATGGCAATATTTCCTGAACAATACAACGTATTCCCAGCAAGTACAGCCTGAGAGTACGGTCCAAGAGGATCTGGAGCGTTTTCTGTTCTGATTTCAACATTCTTTGAAGTCATCTTTTGCTGCTGATAAGTCCTTTTTCTGGTGTAAGTTGGCTGAAAACTGAACGAGTTCACAGCAAATGAAAGAATTACAACAAGGATGAAAATTGATGACATCTGGAATCCTGCAAAAAAGTAAGAGCTATTTTCAATTGTACATTCACTGGAAGTCACCCTCGACAGATGTTTGTCGATCGTGCAATAGATGATGGGCAATACGTCGCAGTCGGTCAGTTTGGCCGACCATAAACGGTATGGTTGTCTTTTGTCTTGAAACTACGGTAACCGATACTCGTACGGTCCGGAGAAGCTACCTTACGTACGTACATAGGTACCGGTACGATCACAGTGCGATGGTGGATGGTGATGAAAGAAACGGCTGAAAGAGATATCTTATTTCGTCCGGTTGTGAGGTTCGTACCGTGAAGTACGTACCGTACGGAACTAGTGTACGTACGAAAGAGTAGAGTACTAACGTATGAGTATCGTATCGTACGTTCGTACCGTACGGTACCAGTTTTGTGATTTGTGACATAAAAAAATACGACCAGACAGACAGACAATGAGTCATTCCCATCAAGCTAGATAATTCAAATTTAAATGGAGAGAGATTAGAACTGAGTCGAATTCAAATTTTCTCAAGATATGTGTGCAAGACACTAAGAGACAGGAATGAGGTGTATGATTGACCCACATGTGGTTCGATTTGACAGCAGCACCAGCACCAATAGTACTACCATCATAAATACAGACCAATGGTGGACTATTTTGGACTGGATTTGCACTTCCATACTCCTCTGATCATAACTTTACTATAATTTTTGGATCAAATTTTTTCAAACACACGAAATTACACTTCGGTTATGAAAATTATCACCTAGAATTCCTACTGATTCCTACGTACATTCCTACTTGAACAGCACCTTCGGGCATCCAAACACCATGGTGACATCCCCTTCCGAAGGGGAAAATCCACCTCCCTGGTGGCGCCATTCAAGAGGCAACCAAGCAATGTAACCATGACTATTCCAAGTATATTGATGTCCCCCAGCTGGTGGTGGTAGTTTACCCCAGCTGGTGGATCCATCCCTTGTTCCTCTGGAAGTACTGTATCTTTCGGTATTGAAGTTGTTTCCGGCATCCGTGCCAAACAGCAGCAACAACATCCCCAGCCCCCAGTATTCACCAAGACCAATCCTTTGAGGAACAAAGCCTGGAGTGTATGCTACACATACTCACATATCCAGTTGTAAAGAAGATTCCCCAGCATCTCCATGCAGTTCCAGTATTTCACGGACCGGAAGAGTTTTCCGGTCTGGTTGTTGTTGTTTCCGACGTTTGTGCCGGAACGCAATAACACCAACCCCAGCCCCCAGTATTCAACCAAGACCTTTCCTTTGAAGAACAACGCCTGGAGTATATGCTACATCATACTCAGTTCTAAA